GTTTGGAAAGTATCCCCGTGTCAACCCTCTTAGATATGCCACTGTTTTTGTTCCAAAAATGGGCATTGATTGGCTGATGTCCAGATTTAAATTCTCAAACTCATGTATGTTGGGCATGGGCAAACAGTACAGACAAGGAGCAATAGGCCCCACTATATTTCCCCATTTCTAGGTTGGTCGATGCACCCTGTGCCACATGCTGTCACCCAAGGGAAAGGTCTATGCCGAAGTGACCGTCAGCCGACTGGCAGAGAACAAGTTCCTGGTCATCACAGGTTCTGGCGTAGAGTTCCATGACCTCAGGTCAGTCTAGGGAATATCTCCTTCCTCTGTTTCATATGAGGAAGAAGGGAAAGAGAAATAGGTTACAAGTTTCGCAAAGAAGCTAATGTTACTTCGGATTTAAAATGTAAAAAGATGGAAATAAACAGCAGAACTGTAATGATTACTGTGAATCATGTTTGATTGCTTCCTGGATACACAAAAGAATGTACAGAACAAGACATTTAAAAATATTTGGAAGTCACAGGAGTGAATTGAGAGCATCGACATTAACAATGAAGCATCCACGGAGTTCGAACTCCTTCACGGTAAATTGTGCGAAGTGAGTATTAATGCTTTAAAAGTTTAAGTTGTTGCTGTTGTGACTGCCCCTCCAGCCCAGTGTGTTATCTGGAGATGTGTTTGTAACTCTTCCTTAACCAGATGGATGGAGGATTTTGCCTGGAAGGGAGACTATGAAGTCACCCTGAACAACATCACTGACAGCACAGCCTGCCTCAGCTTGGCAGGGCCGCTATCTCACGACGTGCTGGCCTCCATCACTGACGCCGACCTGGCCAATGATGCATTCGCCTTCATGGACGTCAAGGATATCACTGTCGGTGGTGTGCCCGTCACTGCTGTCCGAATCTCCTATACAGGTAAATGCAAACTGACTTGAAAAGGCTGTTGATTATCAGAAGACATAAGCGTTAAGAGATAATCATATTTTTAACACCTTATTCTGAGATTTTGTGTCTCAGTAGGCTGGGAGGTCGTCACATGGCATTTGCTATAATGTATGTTTTTTGCTGTGCATGGTCAAAAGTACTGTACCCATCTTACTCATTCTATTTGTCTAAACTTCATCGCTAGCTTGTGTCAGCTGGCAGATAGGCATCTGAAACAGGCAGGAAATGTTCACAGAATTCCCCCCCCCACTAAAATAAAGTGTCTCTGAGATGCAAGGCTTTATTTCAAGTTATTTTAAAAAATGCATTTCCAACTATGGCAAAATTTCAGACATTTAAATGTTGAAAACAGAAACACATTTCTCAGAAAAGAAACCAACTTGACTGTTTCCTCCTCAAGGTGAACTTGGCTGGGAGTTTTATCACAAGGCGGAGGACACAGCCAAGCTCTACGTTGCTCTGCTTGAGGCAGGAAAGCCCTTGGGAGTTGGAGACTTTGGAACATACGCGCTGAACACCATGCGCATTGAGAAGGGATTCCGCATGTGGGGACAAGAGGTAACTGCAGTGCAGAACTTGAAGGACATTCTAGAAACCTCTATCATGGGGCAGCCATCTTGCGTTTCTACCATTCAAAGCAATGTAACCAAAGTGAGGCTGAAAGGAATAGTAGTCTGTTCCCTTTTATCATTATGTGAAGTTGTATCTAATGGGTCTACAGGGAACAAGACAAACATGGCAGCATCCTGATAAAGGTCTTTAAAGCAAAGGCTTCAAACATTAGCAATGAAACAGTCCTGTTGACATGTTATGTGTACATTCACAGTTGCTTTCGGGTGTTGCAGTACGGTCCATGCAAGTCCATTATAAGTTGTTCCGTCTTAAAGAGCACCTCTAAGGAAAACATGTTCGTAGTGTATAAACTTTTACACAGGGCGAGGGTCCCCCTCGTTTGTTGGCCAGCAGGTTAATTGGATTGATTGAATATGTTTCCGTGTGAGTCAGTTAAAGCAGGTTAGCTTATGACTGTCTTTGGAAAAAAAACTTCAAGTTAAGCTTTGCTGTGTCTTTTAAGCAATGATTCCTTCAACTCGAAAAGTGGAGAACGTTAACACTGTGTAGGATTTTAATACTGGAGAAGTATTTTCATTCTGTGCAATTCCAGCTTGGTGCGATTTGGTGATAAAAGTTACCCAGCCAGTAGTTTTGAATGATTGCTCTATTCAGTGACACCAATTGTCACGCATGGTGTCTTGGGTAGTGGATCTGTATAAACAGTTTTCAGTTTCATTTTCACCTTTGAAGTTCATCCATATTCCATGTTTTTGTTGCAGATGTTGATGGACAATGGCCCATTAGAAGCTGGGTTGGGACCATTCATCAAACTCAAAAAGGTCAGTTGGAATATAATACGTCCTGCAAAAGAGGAATGTGCAAGGAAGATCGGAGCCAACTTCTGTACAGTTGGGATATCACATCAGTGGCCCAAGCTAACAAACTGTGGCTCAAATGCGAGAAAGATTTTATTGGGATTTGACATCAGTAGGCTAATCTAAATAATTGAGGCATAAGTCACAAAGGCTTGTACCTCATCAGAGAGCCCTCCATTTTGAACTTGTTCAAACATTTCTACATCATTGGAGTATGGCATCTGTCATCTAGTCTAACAAAATGAGCCAAGGTTTAGTAATATACGAGACCAAAACCAAATCCACAAGGTATCAGGTGCACCCGTCACCAGAGATTAAGACAAGGCTTCAAAGATTTGTCATCCAGAAAAAAATGTCTCCACTTTTTCAGGAGGCTGACTTTGTTGGTAAGGCGGCCGTTCAGAAGATGAAAGACGAGGGACTTCAGCGTAAACTGGTTCTGCTGACCGTTCCCAACACTGACAATGTTGACCCTGAAGGCAACGAGACACTCTGGCTGAATGGCAAGGTGAGGAGAAATGGTGGTCCTGATTGGTTGCTTCTGGTAGACTGGGGCAGTTTCTGAAACCCTAGTGGCCTCACCTTTATTCGTAATAGCAAAGTCATGATGTATCAATTTTCATTGTAGTCATTTCACATCAGGCAGACTATGCATTGCTTAATTCAGTGACAGGACGATGGTAATTCCCATTGGTGTATACATTTATTGTCTGTAATGTGAAAAACTTTCAACATCATACAAAATTGTATACCATCAATAATTATTCTTGCCTGAGGAGTTTTCATTCACATAGGAACATTGGGAATGGGGGGGCTTGTGTATGTGAAGCGGCCTTTTTTAACCTTTTGGTGAAATCACTGGCAGGTTGTCGGCAACACCACGTCAGGCTGTTACAGCTACCACCTCGGGCAGAGCATCTGCTACGCTTACCTGCCCATGGAGCTGACGGCAGTTGGGACAGAGGTTGAAGTAGAGCTCTTGGGAAAGAGGTACCCCTCAACAGTGACCAAGGAGCCCTTGCTGCTCACCGAGCAAGCCAGAAGCAGGCAGAAATCCAAGGGAGGAGTGAATGTGACTGTTATTCAATAAAAAGAAATAAGTGAAATGCATACATATAAGATTTGAAGACACCTTCGTGTTTCAGGCTCTTAGTGTCTAATACTGCCTCAGTTATTTTAGTTAAGTTATTAAAACATGTAGTGTCACATCGAACCGGAGGCCTTTGTTCAGTACTTGGCCTAAAAACTCCAGAGCCCCTAAGGGCCAAGAAGTCATTGATCTGATACTAAAAAAGCTAAATTGGGGTGTAAACAACTGGAAGGGTTATTTTTAATTCATGCATTAGGCGGGGCATACTGGGCACAGACTGAGATGTAGATATCAGGAATATTGTCTGTGCTTGTTGGTCTCTTCTGCAAGGATCAGTTTTTCTTGTAAACAGGGCTCCTATCGTTGTCACTCATGGATCGAGATCAAGGTGTTTGACCTCATAACTGTCTCTTTCTGAGAAGGATCATGAACAAATAATCTTATTTAGTTTCAGTATTACACATCCTTGGAGGACAGTTTCAATCCATCACAAGTCACTGGGTCGCAAGTTCGGTCTCTAAGCATTCAACCGAAACATTCCTTTGTCCTTGTTTGCCCTGTCACATGTGAAAGGACTTGTAATGAATTCACCGACAACACTGATTTATTTTGTTGTTCTCTTTGCCTGTAGTCCTCGAAGCTCAGTCATGTCTCAGACTACAAGGCAGCCCTGTTTATGCGATGCAGGGGGAGACCACATTTTAGTCGGAGATGGGGAAGGGCCCAGGTTTTATTATCATCAATGCATTGACTGATGAAGGCGTGGTTTTTAGGTGTCAGTGTACAAGTGTTATTCAAGATTGTGACCATTGCACCTTTTGNGCTCAGGGGTTGGGTCCGATCCTCCTTGCACATTCCTCTTTTGCAGGACATATTATATTCCAACTGACCTTTTTGAATTTGATGAATGGTCCCAGAATGGGCCAGTGTTCAGAAACACAGTTGTAAGTCTGCATTTGACAGAACAGATATCGCTTATGTTGTGCAATTAATTAACATACTTTATGATCATGGTATCTAATACGTACAAGTATTGCATTCAGCATAACAGCATAATGTGACATAAAAGTGCCTCTATGTCTTTGAGACTAATTTCCTGCCTGATTTGTGAAATGGTAGATCAAGCTGAAGTTTTCAACAAGAATGGTAGATGTATTGGAATTGTGAGGGAGGACCCAGAAGCCATATTTGGGGAGTGACAAGAAATAGGGGAATATCTTCCACTTGATTTTGATAACCTTCCTTATGCATTTGGCTAACTTCAGGAGCTAGTATGAGGGTAATAAAGTAGCTAGTCCCCCAAATCACCTTTCTATCAATATATGAAAAATATAAATTATTTCCTGTTGTTTAGAGGGGGCGTGGCCCCTGTTGCCCCCCCCCATATCTGCCGATGTCAAAACATCCATGTAAGTCAAGTATTACATGTATATCATTCCCGAAACGTAGTCTTCTCTTCAGAAATCATTACTTTTCTCGTATTGTTTCTATTCAAGCCTGAAGGGGTGCCGTATAGCGGTTGATATGCATAATATCATTTCGTAAATTATGTTCATTTAACAGTATTCTCGATCTTTTAATTAGCCCCATCCTCTTTTGTTTGCATAAATTTGAATTTTAAAATAATAATGCATACTCTAGGCAATGAGTTGGGTTTCTGTAAATGTGAAGAATTTCTGAGATGGACTAATTACACTATATATCCTGTCCAGGACTGAATAACTTTTTAAAATCTAATCTTGCTCACATTTTTGTATCTCATACAAATAAATATTTTTGATTAGATCAGAGGACATAATAAAAATTTGACATTCACAATAGCAGTTTGTTTTGTCGACTCTATTACTTTAAAGTACTAACTAATAAGACCGACCAAAGAAATTCGAGAAGAGAAGAGTGGTTCAAAAATGTTGTATGTGGTGTAACTAGCACCGCGACACGGACGTCAGTAACCAGCTGCGTAGCCTTGTTTTCGGGGGTCACTATAGGCCATCCACCCGTTATCCAGTCTCCGAATGGCTTGAACCACCGACATGTATCGTCTCATCTTCGTCTTGTGACCCATGGCCTTTAAGTTGTCTATTACCTCCTGGCAAACAAAATGAATGAAAAGGAAACCTCAAAGACGAAGACTCCAAACTGTCAAAGGAGATCTCGCTGTAGGCCTAAGTAGGAGCAAATTCTATTACAGGCATGCAAGCTTGACGCTACCTTCGAATCTCGAACCTGCTTTGCAGACTTACTTGGGGGAATCCTTTTTCGTGTATAATAGCATTCTCTGATTGCAGGTCGTGGTTAAGCCGCCTTTCATCGATGATTTCTTGTAGACTGGCATCCGTAAATATTGCACGTAAGATTGTCTGTATCAAGCCATTGTAAACGGGGAAGAATGCAACGTAACTGTGATTATGCTATTCCAAACCGAGGCAAACCTATGATTTTCGGTATCTGGCTCATTGAGACGCCGTGGAATTCATCGTCGTGAATTAAATAGCAATGTTTATAGGGATAAAGAGTTTACTTTCGTAGGTCTAATCGATATCTGTGTTCTTCACGCGAAGCATTAGTAACAACTGCACCGCGCAAGTAAGCGGTGAAGTCTAGCATTCCCTGCTGATGCTGAGGTACATAACTCAGGGGTGTGAGAATTCAGCCTTTTAGCTGATTTCATGTTGTTGTTTTGTTTTTTAATGTTGACCTTGAATTTAAGCTTTTTGCTAGCTGTTTTCAGCTTTAATTTTAAGTGGCCACTCACACCCCTGATACAATTTGGTGCGTTCCAAAAATCGAAAATTCAAGGAGGGACGTCCAAACATTTAAACACTCTATGCGTTTATGGCACGTGGTAAATTTGTAGGGCCTCAAATTGTTCGTATAGGCCTAGGCCTCGGCACTGGCCACCACTGAGAGCCTACTCTGGCTATTCCACAATCAAGCCCTGTGTATATAGAGTGTATACATGATATTTCAATGATATTCGAGGAGCAGGCACCTCTCTGGTCATTCTCAATACATGTGCAGAACTCGAGCTCCCTTTTTCTGAGCGCGCTCAGGTACAATCGAAGATCGACCGTTTTCATAAATCGCTAGATCAGCAAAAAAACCTTTGTTGTTTCCATACAGACTTTCCATATTGCCTACAGTTTGCATGGGCGGTGGAAGCCTGCAGAAAGTGCCCCGTTATGGGTAAGTGACAGGTTTTACCTCGAAAGGCATATTTTCCCCCGATTGTTGCGGATATTATTTTCCAATAAGTATAGGTTTTCCCATTCATTTCCAAACTTGTTTCATGCATATCTTTTTGTATCGATTAATTTGCAAATTCGTCTCAAGAAGACTGGCATGCCGAATGTTACAATGTATTTAGTCCATGCCATTTCAAATTGTCAATGGCAGATCGTCGGCAGTTGCAATGACGAAATCGAACTGTTCCACGAAAGGTACGGTACTTGTATGAAGTTGTGTGGACCCATGCGGTGCAAAAACTAGCGACCGTAGACGAAATCAAACTCAGGATATGAAAGGGCAGGAATTTGAGGGACGAATTTGAAGTAAACAGTTTATAAACTGGAATGAAAAAAAAAATGAAAATGTATGGGAAAACCTAACACTACGTATTGATGAGTTTCAAGTAGCAAGGGATCTTTTAAACATTTTGTGAATTATTCTGTAATTTGCGTCTGTACTTAGGCCTATTCCCATCGCAAACCGCAGTTTGCATTCCACTGCCATACCGGTACTAGGCAAGTACATGTGCTACATATGAACTAAAACCAGACAAAGGTCTATCGCCGGACTGTCCCAACTGAAATAATGCACGATGACGTACATTGCACCTGTCCGCATGCACATAGTACTGCAGCTATTCTGCACTAAAATTTGCCGGAATTTGGGATTCTTTTGCTGTCATACATTTTAAATTTGTTCGCATTAGTGATTGAAATTGCTTCAGTTCATGTCAGAAGGTCAGTGTAAACGTTTTCTCACAAATATTTAAAGAGCAAATTTTGCGTTCTCACGTTAAATAGAACCCCAAACAATAACTTCCTGAAGATTTGATTACATAACAGCAACAGCACCCTCGTTCGACGGAAAAAAGTTTGTAAAACTAAAGAGTCTGCTCGTTGACGTCACAGTCGTGTTTTTCCTACATGTGGATGCTAAAACTATGGCTGGCCATCAGTACAAAAGTAACCGAATAATTCACAAAGTGTGAAAAATTCCAAACAGCTATTACAACAGCGCATACTACTAAATACTGCATAATGCAACACTATTTAATTAATACTATTTATGGGACAAAAATGTCCATTTTGAACGAATTTGAGGTAAAATCGAAAAACCAAACAAAAGGTGATATTTCTGCAAATTTTGGCAGCCTATATAAGTTGTAGGCAAATGAGAGTGGCCTATTAGTTGTTTTAAACAATTATAAAGATGAGCAAAGAAACTGACTGGAGCGGGATTTGGTACTCTACCAACTGAGCTATCCAGCCCTACCGTGGTGGTTCTTCCCATTTATCAATTATCTTTTTCAGAGGCGCTCGTCAGAAGCTATGTAACCTGAAACACCATTCGGCCAAGGATCACGCCCCAATTATACACAATTTGCAACCTGGGAAGTGGTGATCATCTTTATTATTATATGTAAGCACCTAGTCAAGTTTCCCTATATAGTTTGTTTTATGATTTGTTATAAAATAAGAGCACTTTTGAGTAACAAGGGATGACAAAATAGCTTTCTCCCTTAAGAGAAGACATGCAAAAATATGATGTAAAGTGAAGTTCCATGATATGATGTGAACTGAACTTCACATCATGGAATCTTAACTCACCCAAGCGTTGATATTTATAATTGCACTGCTACCAGAACTGCCCACAATCAACTCAGCTTCTTTATTCTCATTCAGGACGATCATCGGCGCCATGGCAGAAAAGGGCCTCTTGCCAGGGGCGATGTAATTGGCCGATGATACTGGTTGGTCTTCCGGGGTAGTGAAGTCTAGCATCTGGTTGTTCAAGATCATACCCGTCCTTCTTGAAAGTCCACTTGCAAAACTGTTGCATTTTGTTCAGTGGTTAAATTGTTGTGATTAGATTAAACTTTTCCTTAAAGCCTCAACTTAAGTTGAAGATGTGTGATACTTATGTCAAGCAGTGGTACGATACATTCTCTTCATAAGTGCACGTGAAACGGGTATTGTAAGCTATACCATGGATGTGTTACGCACATTTACACATTTCCTTTTCTCATTTTAAGTGCAAGTTACACTGTGTACTGGCTGGTCTCTGGAACTTAGGAAACTATCAGACAAATTAATTTTCCAAGGTTTCGATCGAAGCTGCATCCGGATTGAAGTTCACAATCCAGGCGCAAAAAACTCTGAAAACTATATTCAAC